CTGCCGGGCATGTCTTTTAAACCCAATTACCGCCAGTGGTCAGGATATCTGAAGGCCAGTTCTGGCAAGTTTTTGCATTATTGGTGAGTTTTATTAGTCTTTTGTCTTAAAGTTATCAGCATGAGAATATGCAGCATGTTTTGTTTGTGATGAGGATATGTTTAGGCGAATGGCGTTTCCGCATTCAAGCCCAAAGGAAAAACTAAGATGTTTTAAATGCAAAAAGCGTTTTTAAAAAGCTTTATTTTTTTTATATTTCAAGCTTATATATATATGTATATATATATAATATTGGGGATATCATGGTCGTTTGAAGTACTGTGATGTAAGCTAGGACAGTGGTATATTACAATATTCATAGATGCCATTGTATGGTTCCTGTCTAGAAAAGCATTGTATTACATTTTGTTCATGTATAAAACTATTATTTTTTTGGTACTGAATTGTTATTGTGAGTACTAGTAGTACTGTGGAAAGAGACTTTCCTCTGGTGTAAATGTACTATGGTTTGAGTCTCTTCAGTAACACATAATTGTTTTGTGTATTCATTATTGCATTTAAGAGAGTGTGTATATGTTACAGGTTTGTGACGTCTCAGAGGGACCCGCTCAAGGACCCAGTCGTGCTGTGGCTGAACGGAGGGCCAGGCTGCAGCTCTTTGGATGGGTTTCTGTCAGAGAATGGCCCCTTTCATGTATGTTGATACTTATCATGATTTAATCTTAAAGAGCTAAGAACTAAAGAACTGAAAAGTTTAGAGAGGGGAAAAACGTTTATGTAATTTAATTCGTTGAGGTCTTAATTGTTTTTCCGCACAACACAAAACCATAAATGCCTCAGTAAACATTGTGCTTGTTCTGTGTGTCCATAGGTTAATGATAATGGAGCCACACTTTATGAGAACGAATTCAGCTGGAATAAAATCGCCAATGTTCTTTATCTTGAGTCGCCTGCTGGAGTGGGTTATTCCTACTCCGATGACCAAAAATATCAAACCGATGATGATGAGGTAAGTGTCTAAACATTCATAGATATTAATAGCCTATAAAGACAGACTTTGAAACGCCTTAATGTGTTTCTTTAGGTGGCAAATAACAACTACCTGGCTTTGCAAAGCTTTTTCATCAAATTCCCAAATTTCACCCAGAATGAGTTTTTCATTTTTGGTGAGAGTTATGGAGGCATCTACGCACCCACACTCAGTCTGAGAGTTGCCACTGGAGGTCAGCTTAAAGTGAACTTTAAGGTAGGTTTAATGTGCTTGTTTCATTTTTAAAATGTAATTTATTATTAAATATAATGTATAGACCTTATGTAGCTCGGCCCCTTTTTAGCGCTGTGCCCGTTGTCTTCTACTGTCATACATTATAACATCAGCTTCGAACATTACAATGCACATGATAACTTTGGTTAAATCTACAATAAGTAAATCCACTTCACCAGCTCATTACTCTTTTAAAGTGAACTTTAAGGTAGGTTTAATGTGCTTTATTTAATTTATTATTAAATATAATGTATAGACCTTATGTAGCTCGGCCCCTTTTTAGCGCTGTGCCCGTTGTCTTCTACTGTCATACATTATAACATCAGCTTCGAACATTACAATGCACATGATAACTTTGGTTAAATCTACAATAAGTAAATCCACTTCACCAGCTCATTACTCTTCAACAGAGATGCTATAGAGCTCAGAAAACGGAAATTTAAAGACAAAATTCTGAAGTTGGCTGCACACTTGTTTCTCTGACGCATAAAGTCTGTAAAATGTAATTTATGTAGTTTACTAATATTTGAAGACAAATTATACTTAATTTGTTTTCTGTTGAAATTTCTATCTGTCTTTCTATCTATCTATCTATCTATCTCTTTTCATTTTTATCATTTATTTGTTTGCTTTTGCAGGGCTTTGCTGTGGGAAATGGCATTAGTAGCTTTGCACTAAATGACCAATCGCTAATCTACTTTGGCAACTATCATGGCCTGTTTGGAGAACAGTAAGCTAATCAATTACTTATATATGTGGCCACTCGTGTATATCTATATTGCAATACTGACAATAAATATTTTGATAAATATGTTGATTTTTTTTTTTTACATTATTTTGCTTGTAGGCTGTGGAAGGATCTGAATGACAACTGCTGTCAAAATGGAGTCTGTAATTTCTACAACAATTCTAAAGAGTCCTGCTCTGTTGTGGTAACGTGAATGCATCCACACATGCCTGCAACTCTTGTACAACCTTGCCAATGGTTATTTAAAGTGTGACTAGTCTTCTGTCTTTTGCAGGTATCGCATGCGTTTAATATAGTCTATAACTCTGGGTTGAATACATATGCGCTGTATCTTGACTGTGCTGGTGGTGTCACATCTCAGAGAGCCATGATGCATCTGTTCAGAAACTTCAGGAAGCATTGGGAAGCTAATAAGGTGAGTCTTGTTCTATCTGATCATGCAGCCTTCCAAGAATCCACTTTAATAAACTAGATAAAACAAAGGAGAAATGTGTTTTCTTTTGTTTGTTTAGTTAGTAGGAAGTACTCCAAATGTTCAGGGAGTGCCTCCATGCATCAATAGTACCGCTCAGATAAACTGGCTTAATCGAGGTGATGTGAGGAAGGCGCTGCACATTCCCGATGTACTACCACCATGGGACATCTGCAGGTAAACTGACCCCTATCCCCACATACAGTTTCAGTGTGTGTATGCATGAGCAGCACATGTGTGCATACAGAGTTCTTCCTTTTTTATCCAGTGATGTTGTGGGAAGCCAGTATCACACCATTTACGAAACTATGAAGGATGTCTATGAGAAGCTGCTGGCTTTGGGTCTGAGAGCTTTGGTCTATAATGGAGATACCGATATGGCTTGTAATTTCCTTGGGGACCAGTGGTTTGTTGAGCAGCTTGGACAGAAGGTAAGTTCTGTGTTCTCTGAGACGTGATGCTTTGCAGAATTTGTAACACCTTCTAGGTTTAATGTTGAGTTTCTCTTCTTCTTCAAGGCAAGCACTCAATACCAACCCTGGATTTATGATAACCAGATTGCTGGATTCTACCAGCAATTTGGCAACATCACTTTCCTCACAGTCAAGGTACGTTTCAGGCATCCATGCAGCCGGTCTTGCTCTTTTCCAAGGTGTAGTTAGTTCAAACTGTTATTGTCATGATATACAGTGACATGACATACAGTATGACATACAGTAGTGTGTGTATGTGTATTATGAGTTTGACATTTTTACATGTACTAAGGCATGGCATACAACTCTGCTCTTCCAGGGTGCAGGTCACATGGTTCCTCAGTGGGCTCCTGGTCCATCTCTCCAGATGCTACAGAGTTTCCTGTCCAATATGCCTTATTGAACTTCCTCCAGAACGTGTCCTGTCTTAAAGCACTAGATCTGATTTTTAGAAGTGGTCTTGAATGGACTTCAAGAAAGTGTGATTTTAAGGAAACTGTTGAAATGTGACATGAAGCTGCACAGTAATTTTCTCAGGGACCGTTGGGTGTACGTGTGTTTGCATATGTATGGGAATTTTGAAATGCTTTTTGTTTTTTAATTGCTTGAATCTTTTTAAACCAATTTTTCATTGAACACTAGGGGTGGTTTTCACAGTCATGTTGATCATAACAAAATCACGTTATCCCAATTATAGATATATATATTTTTAAACCGTATTAGTGGATATCACATGGTTTAAAATGCTTATTTTGTCCTTAAATCATGGGTTACTCTTAAGGGATCTGTTCATTGAATACGTGGTGAGATGTACTGAGGACAAATATATTTATAGTCTTCATTTTGTTCCTACCCTTGATACACTCAACATTGAAACAAATTTATACTGTTCTTAATTATTTGGATCTATGGTTATAAATGGTTTACAATCCTATCTGATTGGCAAATCCTCTAAGAAGGATTATATGAATGAGCATATAACACTCCGTTTGACCAAAGATACTGGAATCAGTATAATCAGTATAAACCAAGAAATAAAAAAGCTGTTTTAGTGTGTTTTGTCTGTGTATATCTGTATTCATTAAGATTATGATCTGATTAATGATATGGCAACTGTTTAAACCACAACAGCATCTAGACGTATTGACATGAGAAATGAAAATTGACCGATTTAAGTAATTTCCCTGTTGTGTGTAAAACCTAATTGAGGATATGGACATAATACGTGTGGTAGAGTATATATAGAGAGAGGAAACAGAAATTTTAGATATCTGTTTTAGATCGAGGTGGTGCTGCTGGATATGGAGCTGGTAATAGAGGGGCCAACAGAGGAGAGTACAATGGCAGTAACACCTTTTATCACAAATGTACAGTAGGTGGCGGTATATGCCACTTCTACTTGGTCGTATCCACATAGGCAGACGGAGAAGAAAAGGCGTAAAGTCAGCAGTCACTCGAACGTGGTTGATACACGTGTGAGGATAGTCAGGTAACAGAAATGTTATTGTCGGTTTAGACAAAGAGTCACTTTTGCCATGCATGTGTATACTGATCTCTATAGAGTGTATCGAGTGTAGAAAACCTTTTATTTAGTTCTCTTGTTGAACTGCACCGTGTTTAAGTTTCCGTGTCTGTGTGACTGTGGAAGCTACGCTGCGGTGCAACAGTATCTCTCTTTCTCTATCGTTTGGGCTTTATCTTACTGCAGGTTCTGCCCTCGTGAAAAGAGAAACAAAATATTGGCTGTTCATAATATAAGCTTCAGATATAAGCTTCTGTGTGGCTCAAATTTCAAACTTTTCACTCATGTTTCTTTGTTTAACAGCAGCTGGAAGAACACATCGGTGTAGAAGAAGAGGAACCGTGCCCTTGGATGTTTTGTACTAAAGAGATATATTTTGTTTTATTCGTTTATGTTTTTACAATATAATTCACGTTAATTCATAGTCACTACATTTAGTTATTTTATTGTTAAACTATAGGCTACAGCATACTCAGTATGAATACTGAGCTTTATAGCAGCTTGCAATGTAAGTGGTATTCAATTTTAATTATATATTTAAGTGGATTAAAAACAAATAACAATAAATGATTAAAACACGACCACTGGAAGTCTCATGATTGCACAGTAATTCTGCTGAATGGTTGTAAATAATTGTTAAAAGATAAACAATACCATAAAGCTTCCAATTGTTGTAATCAAAGTTTCACCATTAACACATTTAATGCATATAAGAGACTGGGGCTAGTTGGCACAAAAGCTGCAAAGTCTGTAATTAGATTTCTTGGCAGTAATTTTGTATGTTGGTTTTAAACAGTTAAAATTATAACTTATTTTGCTGTAGATGTTGAGTAAATAAGCAAACACAATAAAACCACACTGAGTTTAACATATTAGGGCAAAGGTATTTTTCACAATTTTCTCTGTGAGTTTTCAAGTGTGTTATTGGTTGTAATTTTATACAACTTAATTTACTTACACATTTAATGTCTTGCGTGTCGTAATTGTTTCACTTTTGCTGAAAAGTGAGGTGTGACATAACCCACTTTTGGGGGATGTTGTCACTGAAGGGCAACGTATGTTCAGTTAACAGATTTACAAGTCTGCCCAGGTGTACGTAGTTGTACAGTCAGACGGTAAGGTTTCACTGACTGTGTCCCACCATATATAAGTTTGAAGTCCGGTTCTCCTGCGTCCTCCGGCCAGACCAGACAGAATCGCCGCAGCACCGTGACCAGGATGAGGAAGAGCTCCATGCGAGCTAGATTTTCTCCTAAACACACACGAGATCCTAGAGAATAAAGTAAATGTACATTATACAACACACTGTTTGTTCTCATTCTACCACAGATACACTGTCTACTGATTTTATTCATGTACTGTATTGTTAAAATCATACTGACTCTTGTTTATGTAATATGTGAAATTAATCAGCTCAATGACGTCCACCAATGGCACTAGGCTAAATGAGTGCTATTGATAAATATCCACTGTGTTTAATCAATTAAAGACCTCATTACACAGTGTAGTAAAACATTTATAACATACCTGCAGAGAAAGGCATGAATGCATCAGGCTTCACAAATTCCCCCTTATCATTCAAGAAGTTTTGAGGGTTGAATTCATGGGGAAACTTCCACTGACTTTCCTCTCTGAGAGCAGATGACAGATAGGGGATGATAATTGTCCCCTGTAAGAGCAAACGTTTTAAATTAGCAATCCTCCCTTTCCGTTTACAGTAAAGATGCTGTTTAGGGCTTGCAATAATAGTTTGGTAATGGATTGATTTGATTAAATAATGGATAGTTGTTCTTAATTACTCTTTCATGTCATTTTTTATATGTGCCATAGTAACTCTATAACTGTAATATGATGAAACTGCTGTTGCCATTCAGTAATTATAGTAAATGTCACCTTTGGGACGTTGTAGCCCCGGAGCTGAGCGTTGGTTGTAGCGGTGTGAAACATACTAAGAGGAACAATGTCACCAACACGCTGACCCTCATGAATCACTGCTTGAATGTAAGGCATGGCGTTTCTGTCCTCAAATGTGACATGTTCACGATCACCAAGGACTTCATCAATCTCCCGCTGACATTGTTCTGAAAATGTATAAATAGATGTTAATAGACACAAGTAGACATTGAAAGACTATGAATGCTATGAATAATTCACAAAAATAAAATACGAACATAAAATAATTTTATTAATAATGCACTATCCCATTCCAGAACCTTATTTTGCTGCACATTATTCATTAATGCATAATCCAAAAAGAAATCCATAACCCAGACAGGAAACATCTTGCTTTTTCATTTTTAGAAACATAAAATTGTATTTAAAACACACACACATATTACTCCACGGTCGCCGTGATTTTGTAAGACAAGTAAGACATGTTCCTGGATCAACATCTTTTGTTGTTCCTGGATCAACATTACTGTCCAAAAATACAGACTCCAGGATCACAAGGATGTTGATCCAGGAACATGTTATACTTGGTCAAATCACACTCACCATTACTCCACAGCTATCATTTTAGGACAATTTTAATAAATTAATTAAAATAATCAGATAATTCATAACTAATCTTTAGCCCAATAAAAAAAAAACATGGCAAATCATCAACATCCATCATATAAACTCAGCAAAAAAAGAAAAGAAAAAGAAATTAAGAAAGAAATGTCCCTTTTTCAGGATAATGCATTTGAAAGATAATTTTATAAAATCCAAATAAGCATTTCAGATCAGAGTGCTTAAACAATGTTTTTCTTTCTTGTTCAGTGAATCATAAACAATTACTTCACATGCACCTGTGGGACAGTCCTTAAGAAGACACTGATAGTTTACAGGCGGTAGGCAATTAAGATCACAGTTATAATAACTTGAGCCAGTAAAGAGACCTTTCTAAAACGAAGAAAGATGCCCATGTTCCTGATCACCTGTGTGAACATGCCATAGTCCTGGACATGAGGACTGCAGATTTGGCCACAGCAATAATCTGCAATGTCTGTAATGTAAGAGGCCTAAGACAGTGCTCCAGGGAGATAGGAAGGGCAGCTGATAGTCATTGCCATGTGAAACCCCATGTAACCATGTGTCCTCCAGAAATGTTCGGGAATGTGCAAATGCCTTTGTGGAAGGGTGGAGTACGGTCTCACAGCAAGAAGTGGCAAATCTGGTGCAGTCCATGAGGATAAAATGCTGGTGCACACACAGGATACTGACTGCTACTTTTGATATTGACCCCCTCTTTGTTCCAGAAATGGAATAATGTTGACATATTATTACATTTCTGTTCGTCAAATGACTGTAAAACCTGTTCAGTTTATGTCTTAGCTGTTGAATATTTTTATGTTCAAACAAATATTTGCACCTGTTAAGAAATTAGCTGGAAATAAAAAGCAGGGCATTTATTTGCTGAGTTTTTCATTTTGACCTGGATAACTTTTTCCATGTAAATAATTTACTCTGACATGCAAAAACGTTTTTAGTATAAAAACTCTCAAAAAAAGGGAGAAAGATAAAGGGAGTTGACATATCTTACCCACATTCCTTACCCTGTATATGAGTGTGAGTCATCAAATAGAGCGTTAAAGTGCGGAGTGTGTTAGAGGTTGTTTCAGTTCCAGCCGCAAACAGGTCAAACAGCAAAGTGGCCATCTGTGAGTCGTCAAATGTGGTGCATTGATCTGCTCTCTGAAAACAAAACAATCCACTAACAAATCATTGTAAATCAAAGAATATTAAACTCATATTGTGCTGATAAATTCAATAAAAATACACAACCCACACAAAGACTTATGAGTATATCTTACTTTCTCTATCTCCTCCAGGTAACAGTCAATCAGGTCTCTGGGCTCCCCAGTAACACGTGACTTCTTGTGCTCATCCACAACTTTAAGAATGTGATTTTTAATTTCTCCATAATACTGAAAAGCCTTGCAGAATGGCAGTGGAAAAATCCTTAACACTGGGGCTATTTCGTAGAGCTGCAATTCAAAATAAAATCCTTATAAAGTCTGTCAATATTCTATCCATTTGTGTACAAATCACAGTAACTACTATATATTATTTATTTTTGGTAGCAGCAATACTGTAAGTGTAAACAAAAAAAGTATTATCAGCAGTAGAGTATAAAAAGCATCTTTGTTTGTGTAAATAGCCTTTAGCAACAAGGCTGGTTATTTGCACTCAGTGTAAATAAACAGTGTCTTTACTTTTCATTGTATTTACCATTGCCCATTGTCCAATGACAATCTTAGTAAGTTTTTCGATGCTTATGATCAATGTCTGGAAATATTCATCCTGATGATTGAAACGTGACCCAAAAATGATTGAGGCAATGATGTTTGAAGCAGCTTGGTGGTACAGATGTTCAGGGTCAATTGACTTTCCTGGTAGGGATGTAGAGGTAAAAGAGATGTTTTCCATTCTTGAATTTGAATATTTTCTGGCAATTTTAAGATCATAAAAATGGCTATATTCAAAGATTAGACACTGAACGTGTGATTGCATAAATGAACTATGTTAATATAAATATTAGAAGTGTCACAGATGAGGCGAACGTATATACCAGCAGATTCCTTCAAATGTGAGCAGATATATTTGACCTCCTCTAGAATCCTCTGCTCCATACTTCTCTTTCCAAGGCCAAAGTTCCTCAGTGTGGACAGAGCAAAGCGTCGATGCTCCCTCCAACTTTCTCCATAATCTGCCATGATCACCCCTAAACAAACATAGTAATCAGCTAGGAAGCCTTTAAACCCAGCAGGGAGAGCTTCAATCAACATTTTTTTATCATATTCTCTGCTGAGTGCAATTGTCTGTGTTATATGAGTAGTATGCTGGCTGCATCTTGTTTATACTGCATTACCTTTGCTTTGTGTTACATGACTGACCATCATGTTGTCTGATCTGCCAGCAAATTCTACCGCTTTTGTGATCAGTGCCTCCCTGATCATCTTCTGACCTGTCAACACCACTGCTGGCTGGCTACCAATGAACAGCCCGTAGATTGACCCATAGCGCTGAGCAAACTGCAAAAAACATTCATGTTGAAGACCACAGACTCACAACAGCATGTTTTTGCTGTTATACTGTATGGACAGAGTCTGATTTCCTTTCATCACTTGTTTCCAGCAACCCATTCAATTATTTCAGTGTGAGTTTCCTACCAGTAATAATGTATTGTTAATGCAGCAGTCTCCAATGTGTTTGAGACTGATGTGCTTACCTTGTCAAAGTCCTTTAACGGGTTTGTGCGGTCCAGTTGAAGCAAATTTCCAAAAAATGGAACAGGAGTGGGTCCAGGGGGGAAGTTTTTGGGTCTTCGAATTCTAAACTGCAAGTACAGAAGAAAGGCTCCCAGACACAACAGAACAAGTGCGGGCAACATGGTTACTGATCTGCTGGACGGCCCGTCTCAAACCTGCTATTTAATGCAGACAGAGAACTGATACGCATGCACACAAAACTCCTCCTTTAAACTCTGCTGAACTTTTTAAACTTTGTTGAACTGGAGTCGGGAAACACTGACGATATAGGTAAAAAGGCAAGCTATAATCAACAATATGGGCGACGAGGTAATGATACAGCCACCAGAGGTGAACCCTTGATAAATTTGTTCCTGAAAGTTCATTATGTAAACATGCACTATGACATCATATGTAAACATGCACTATGACATTATCCAAGTTTGTGCAGCATTAACAATTTTTTTGTTACATTTCTGTTTCTGGCAAAATATTCTGGTGACTAAAATTAAATTGTATTTTCAGTCTTTCTTATAATATATGAAGTAAACACTAAATGTGTGTTTGACTTATTTTAGTGTTTTATCAGGTGGTGGATAAAGCAAGGCTTTATGATCACATGAGATGTATGCATGAAACGCACAAAAGAGCTTAAAATGAATTGAATTTTCATAGTACTGAAATGACATTATGTTTAATTGGTATCTTTCCAATTGTATGCACCATGACTCACCGTTGTCTGTACCTACTAAGGTGAGGCACAACCTCAATCAAGCTGGGATTAAGCCACTGTTAAGTTTTCAGCATTAGGTATTCTTAAAATAAATGAACTGACAAAAATTTGCAGAGTAAGCATATTTCACAAAAGAACACGGCAACTGAACACTACTCAACTGTGACTGGTGCAGTCAATATAGCCACACTTTGCACATTGTTCACAACAAATTGTTTTTAGACTTTGCTCTTGGTTTTTGGCTTATCATGGCGAGATGTTATGTCCTTTTTTTTTTTTTTTTACCTCAAAAACCCTTTTACTTACAAAAAAGGGCAGTGACTTGAAAAACTGTTGATTTAATTATATCATATGAAGTATTTTTTGTTAAGATATATGCAATCATTTCAGGAATTCTAATTAATTCTGCAAGATTTTAAAAACTGTTTTAAGCTACACATTACATCAACTTACCCCCAAAACAACCTTTAGACCTCTGGTAAATGGCCTCTTGGATCAGGACAATTATGCAATAAATAGTGACAAACAAGTGTTTAGGAAAGTGTTCATGGTAGTTCTGTGTTGTTTAGGAGAAATAAAATATTTTCTTCTTCTTCTTCTTCACCCTTCACCATCGCCTTTAGTTCTGTTGTACCCTAAAATACTTTTGGTATCTGTTAGGTTGTTTTGGAGGAGGAAAACTAAAAACCCTTTTACGGTCTAATAGTGTAAAATTGCTTCGGTTGCTATGATTTACTGTTATTTTTATTGCTATCAAAAATCTAAATGTTGAATATTGTACAGACAGGTTTATTCAAAATGAAAAGCTTTAAATTTGTCTTTGCACTGCAGTAGTCCTGTACGTACATTAAGGTAGCACGAGGTGCCGTCAAATCCGGTTTTTTTTTCTGTGACGCATTTTCTAAGCGCCGGAAACGTGCTCGCGAGCACTGATGTGTTATTTTGCTTAGGTATTATTTGGTAGTTGTTTGGTTTTGAAGATCATTCTTTACAAATAAAAAAAAATCAGATCCGTTAGTTTTTTAGATGCCTAAAGAGAAAGGAGTTATCAGGTGAAATAGTCGCACGAGAAGGAAAACTCAGGGGAGATGGCGGTATGAGACAAGCCTGACTAGCTATTAAAACAGAAACCTGATTAATAACTGTGTCTTTAAATGTATCCATGCGATAACTGTATATTCTGACTGGCGAGATTGTGATTTTCTGTGTGTCAGTGCGGTCTTGTTAAGTAATATGTCTCTCGTTAGCCGAAAGGAAAAGTTGGAACCAAAGGCAAAAAACAAATCCATGAGGAAAACCAGGATACTCTGAAGTTCTATATTAGAATCATCCTGGGAGCAAACGTAAGGCATGCATCTGAGTTTCAGTGTGTCTCTGTACATGCTAATGGTTAACATTTAAAGACATATTTTGATGGATTTATTGGTTTCTTTTCAGGCTATTTATGCAGTGGTCGATCTCTTGCTCTTTTATAACTCATCTACATTTTGGACATGGGTAAGTCAGAGTATGATGTGAATAAGAGCATAATCATTTAGCATATGCATACTTTGTGCTTTTGCATTCAGTGGTGTGTATGAGCAAATCTTGCAAATGTTGCACGCATATCTGCTCGTGGCAAATAAACCATGGGTTTTCAATCTTTTAGATGCCATGGACCCCCGAAATAATCCTTATATGAGGGGCCCCATTCTAAAATTTAAATGGCATATATTATATATAAAGGTATATTTTTATGTATAAAGACTCAATTTGTACTGAAAAAATTAATATTTACTTTGTATTATGTTATACTATTAAGGTTTTTCCTACTCACTGTAAAACAGGACTACAAGGAGTATTATTTAATTTTGATCTTATTTGTTTATTTGAATCTTGTTTTTGTGTATTTATTTATTTTTACACTTTTGAAACTGCTTTTCTCTAAACTTTTTTATGGCCCCTCTAGCACTCCCTTGCGGACCCCAGTTTGAAAAACTGTGATATAGACAGTAATGTCCATTTCTCTACCTCTTAGACCCCTGTATATGGGGTTTTTGGTCAACAGTGAGATGATAAACTTTTGGCGGTTTCCAATTTTTTTGTAAATGTAGCCTAATTCACTTCTCTCTTTGTCTCCTTTGTACCAGTTCTTTCTCCTGTTCGCAGTGGCGGTCTACATTGGCGGCTACAGATCTATGTCAGCAATGGCCAAACCTGCATTTGCTGAAGATGGTAGCTTGCTGGATGGAGGGATTGACCTTAATATGGAACAGGGCATGGCAGAGTGAGTGGGATGTTTAATCTGTACAATTTTTTCCCATTTATATGTGTATTTTCAGACAGTGATATACTCTTCATGACCATAACTGATTTTTTAAAATATATATTGACATGCAGACACCTGAAGGATGCGATTCTTCTTACTGCTATTGTTCAGGTCCTCAGCACTCTGTCATCCTACTTCTGGTACTTCTGGCTCTTGGTGAGACTGTGTAATTGCTCTGATTGTGATATCTTTGAGGTTTCACAATTACATTTTTACTGAAACTGTATTATTTGCTATCTCTTCACACCAGGCACCTGCAAGGGCTTTGCATTTATTGTGGGTGAGCTTCCTGGGCCCCTGGTTTTCTGCTGAATCACAGGCAGCCCCTGAAGAGAACGAGAAGAATGAAAAGAAACAGAGGAGACAGGAAAGACGACAGATGAAGAGATTCTAGACTTGTCTGTGTTTATTTTTTTTTTACATTTATTGTACAGTTACATAGAACATGCAATCTAAATTATTCTGAGATATTTGATATGACAGGTTAGTCCAGACAATAGATGAGCACTGTAAAGTGCCTTTGACTTTCTCTCACGTGTCATCAGCTGCTCCGTCCTTTTCAGCCCTTTTGGTTCCTTTTTCTTACTTTGTCCATCTTAAAATCTCTAGCTCAGGTGTGCCTCTGAGTGGGGCTCCACAAGTGAGTTAAACTCACACAAAATGCATTTGCTTACTATAGTGAGCTTTCATATCATTAGTTTCAGTTGCTAATGAGTACTTTTCAGCAGGTGCAGCTACATGGCCCTTTGCCCTCAGAAATTTAGACCCGAGGCTGCATGAGCTTCACCAACCACATGACGTTTCACAGCACTTTTAGAATTCCATCTTTGGCCTTTCAGAAAATACAGTTTTTTTTGTTCTGTATCGGGGGAATCGTGCTGATTCTGTATCAAAGGTAATTATCTTTGACATGTTGTGTTCTGGTGAAGCTACAGGTGCAGCCTGGTGCTGCCTTGAGGGAACACAAAGTAGATAAGGATAAAAAATTATAATTGACCAATAATTGAATGATAATTGATTTAACATTTCAATGGACTAAAAAAAATTAGCAAAACTGCGTCTTGAAAACCTGGTAAAAATAAGTTACTTCAGCTGAAATTTATGGAGACCCAATGATTATAAATAAACTATTATAAAATGAGTTGCTGTGAATTTTCTTTTAAATTGATATAATCATTCCTCAGTTCCTGGCTCATTCGGACCCAGTCCTGGATGAGCATAGGACAGTGGAATGGATTATTCGGGCAGTGTTCCCAACCCTGTTCCTGGAGACTGTCCCAACACAACATGCTTTAGATGTCAAACACACTTGATTCAACCCATGAGCTTTTTAGTAGTGTATTTAAAGACCTGAAATATATTAGATGATTATTGTTGAGGGGCCCCAAGAATTAGGCAAGAAGTTGCTTTTAATTCATTCTGATAGCCCCAGGTGCTGTACAATTGGGATGTTTCCCTTGTCTGAACTTCAGGCTGGAATCTCAGCTAAGTGACTTGGAATAAATCGGGGCCCGTATTCACAAAACATTGTATCTTACCACTAAGAGTTCTCCTAAATAGCACTAAAAGTTTTTAGCTAAGAGATTTCTTTTAAAACCTATTCACAAAGCTGCTGAGACAAACTTTTACTAAGGAATAGAGAGAAGTCTTAAGCTAAGAGTAAGGGTGGGGTTGACCTCGTTGCTATGGATGATGTCAGCATACTTACTAACTATGCACACAGTGATTGGCTGATAGTCTCTGTCAGAGATTCATTCATAGAAGTATTGTAGAGCGGGATATTATGTTGCCATATTCATATAAAGATTTAAAAATAAAAATTTTAATTGCCACATTCAAATAAAGATTTTAAAATGCAGGCTAAGGGATACTAATTAAACAATATAATATATATATGTATGTTATCTAATTGTCAGCCTGTATGCTTCTTGTAAAAAAAATAGTGAATATGCATATAAACAGTCTTTTAATTAACAGAGTAGAATAATCATGGCTGATAGTAAGACATGCAAACAAAAAAGAAAACCAAACTGGACTCAGCTGGACTCAGAACAGCTGTTACTTCTTGCCCAATTGGTTAATGAAAACAAGGATATAATCAAAGGAAAATTTGAAGTTGGGATAACCTCCAAAACCAAAGGCGATACCTTTTTAAAATCACATTATCATTAAATGTTTCTAAAACATTTACGTTCCGAGGCAGATTGCTAGCAAATGCCATTTTAGGACAGTTTGTGGTTTGGTCTTAGTGACTTAGGAGTCCTCTTCACTACTCCTAACGTTTCACAGATTTAGGAGCTAGTTTTAGTGCTAAAACGCTTTGTGAAATACTCTTAAAGCAAAAATGAAGGAGTCCTAATGGCTGATAGTAAGACATGCAAACAAAAAAGAAAACCAAACTGGACTCAGCTGGACTCAGAACAGCTGTTACTTCTTGCCCAATTGGTTAATGAAAACAAGGATATAATCAAAGGAAAATTTGAAGTTGGGATAACCTCCAAAACCAAAGGCGATACCTTTTTAAAATCACATTATCATTAAATGTTTCTAAAACATCTGCCATTTTAGGACAGTTTGTGGTTTGGTCTTAGTGACTTAGGAGTCCTCTTCACTACTCCTAACGTTTCACAGATTTAGGAGCTAGTTTTAGTGCTAAAACGCTTTGTGAAATACTCTTAAAGCAAAAATGTAGGAGTCCTAAATTTAGATCTGTCACGCCCATTATTTTTAAGATTTTTTCCTAAATCCTTATGAGCTACTTTTAGCCTTAAGATGTTATGTGAATACGGGCCCAGATGTGTTAAAGGGGTCATATGATGCGATTTCAATTTTTCCTTTCTCTTTGGAGTGGTACAAGCTCTTGGTGCATAAAGAAGACCTGTAAAGTTGTAAAGACTAAAGTCTCAAATCCAAAGAGATATTCTTTATAAAAGTTAAGAGTCAACCACGCCTACCTAAAACGGCTCGTTCTAACACACCCCCACATACCTACGTCACTATGTGGGAAGATTTGCAAAACGCCGCCCAAATGTTCACGCAAAGAAAGAAGGCGTAACTTTTATTCTCGCTGTAGTATTGTTGTCGTTGTTGCCGCCGCCGCCGCCATGTCGTGAAAGCGCTGTGTTTCGTTGTGAAAGCGAAACTACTTTGTTTGGCCTTCCAAGACGCGTTTCAGAAAGGCGGGGCATAGAGGAGAAACAATAATGTACAGTATGTGGAAAATAATGTTTTTTTTCCCCCTTAACCCGCATAAACACATTTCATTACACCAAATACACAAAATAATGTTCTTTTTAGCAACATCATATGACCCCTTTAAATCGGGGATATCAAACTCAGTTCCTGGAGGGCCACAGCCCTGCAAAGTTTAAATGCAACCCTAATTAAATGCACCTGATCCAACTAATCAAGTCCTTCAGGCTTATTTGAAAACTACATGGTATGTGTGTTTGAGCAGAGTTGCAAATAAACTCTTCAGGGCTGCGGCCCTCCAGGAACTGAGTTTGGCACCCCTGTGTTAAATAAAGGCTGCAGCAGAACCAGAGTTGCAAATAAACTCTTCAGGGCTGCGGCCCTCCAGGAACTGAGTTTGGCACCCCTGTGTTAAATAAAGGCTGCTGCAGAACCAGGATTGAGACCAAGACATGTATCCAATGCGCATGCGCACGCTGAAATGCGCGCACTCGGATCTTTTCTCGTCCTAAACTAATCTTTTTCTGATTAGTGCTGATCTGATCTGTCTATCGACAGACTGCAGTCATGGGAGTCCCCATTTAACCCAGACTGACCGTCACCAACACAAGGAAGGTAAGGAGAACTGTTGCTAAGCTACCGCTAACTTGGTTAGCAACACAATCAGAAACAACAGCGACATTTAAGTGTGTAAAGTGGGTCGATGTTTATCGGTCGAGTGTGTTATCGTCAATTTTAATCTCATAAATGTACGCCAACGGTCCCTGGACTTTAACCGCATCACACAGCAGATAAGACAATCAAGTAAATGCAGGATATTTGTTTACAGTTCAGATGAGTTGGTTAGCCACCTTATGAAGCTAGCGGAAAGTTATCCGACAACAAGTTTAAGTCTCTAACGTTAACCTGTTAACGTTACTATGTGTATCAGTATGGCTTGTCAGTAAGGCCTTTAATGGAGTTAGAAAGAAATAAGGATAGGATGGGAAAATATTGATTGCTTACAAATTGTTCATTTTCACATACAACTGCTAACGTTAGCTGTGACGAATGCTCGCGTGGCAAAGTGACTTCAGCTGGATATGCCTCGATGATTTATTTAATCTAGCACCAGTTTCGGACTTTATGTACCGGTAGTGTGTGTGCGTGCGTGTGCATAAATGTTTTTTAGACTAATAAGGTTGGGTTTCAGCCACACGTGAAAGATCAGTTTGAAATGGCGTTACCTGGCTGCTCTTTGTCCATAAACGCCTTGACTTTGAGCGTTTTCTCATGATAAACATGATTTTACATCGAATAACTGCTTTAATTGGTGTTATATGAGCTCTAGAGAACAATGTGCGTTTACTATTGGGGTAAGTAACATGACCCCCTGGCCCCCTAACGTTACCTGGAACAAAGCCACCCCTTGCTAATCTGGTTTATAATTTAAAATGTAGTAACTGAATAACCAGTAACGAAGCAGAAACCAAGTGAAAAAGATTCGTCTGAAATGTAAATTTATTCTGTGACTTGCATACAGGCATAAGAATGTACTAATGGTTAGTTGCCGATATTATAATTGTCATAATAGCAACACTAATTATGACTAAAAATATAAATGTATATAAACTACGGGCATCAGGGAGTCGTTATTAATATACGGGGCATTGAAATCGCTTATGAACGCATGCTTGTTTTTTTACTTTCACTTTCGAGATTCGCAATCACACATATGGAGCAGCACTCTGCAGTACTTACCACACATTTTACAAGATTAGATGTTTGTCAGTGGTGCTCAGGATCTGCAAATCATTCGCCATCATCCTATCAGTCATCTCGCCTTACTCTGTTTTTGTGGTAAGTGAAATTTTATGTACTGTAATGTAACAGGCTACCGTTAGCAAGCGGCTAACCATGTCCCTTTAGTGGCTCCGTAGAATGTGTTATTTGTCTTCCGCGCCTTTCTGAATACAGATTCAGCCACACCTCTAACCATGTCGGGGGTGTTTGTGGTCCGCACAGAGCTTTTATTTGACATAGTCCCAAGTTACTGTAACCGTTAGATGCTACGCAAGTCTTTTTTTATGCCTTGCAAGTCTACAGTGTGCACGTGAGACAATGTGTTCTTCTCTTGTCTTTGACGGCTTTTAGGTGCGTTATTGGCAGCGCCACCCGCTGCTGACATGAACGCGTCACCACCGCATCAGTACGGAAAACATGGGGACATTTAAGACAATAATCGCATAACCTATTCGATATTCTATAATTAAATCAACTAATCCAAGGGTGGCGAACGTCGGTCCTGGAGAGCCGCAGCCCTGCAGAGTTTTGCTTCAACTCTAATCAAACACACCTGAACAAGCTAATCAAGGTCTGAAGGGTTACTAGAAAGCTACAGGCAGGTGAGTTTTAATTAGGGTTGGAGCTGAACTCTGCAGGGCTGCGGCTCTCTAGGACCGGAGTTCGCCACCCCTGAACTAATCGAATATTTGAAAATCGTGACTCATCCCTACTTTATTACATTATTACTTTTATTACATTACATCAATTAACTTTAAGACTTTTGACTGACTAAATGACAGAAATGTAGATATTCAGATGAAATTAAGAAGAACATAGCCATTCATTAAATGTGTTTTGAGATGTTTTCAAGAGAAAAGTTGGGATTTTGTAAAAAGTTGTTTTACTTCCAATAAAAAGTTAAGCAAGTTCATGAAATGGTTTAAAAAGACAACTTTTTGTGTCTTGTATCTGTATCAAATGTCACCCATATTAGACCTGTACTTTAAAAGCCAGTCATGAAAGGTCGAGG